AGAAATTCTCCGTTTTACTTTTTCGATAATTATTTTTAGGCGAACGTTAATGAAGATAATCGAACGATACTATAGTAATCGAGGCGGAGCGTTGAAACTTTTATTACAAATCAATCAATTACTTAAAATATAATTGATCTAATTCCTGTGGATGTGTCATATTTTTATTTATTCACGTTTAAGAATGATGGCAATTTTCTCAATCCAAATTCTTTATCACGCAACGGCAACAATGGAAACTTGCCAGAGCCGCAGAGGTAACTCAAGGGGATTTCCAGAACATTCCTACAAATGAAAAAGGAGATAGAGAAAAAAAAACTGAGAAAGACTACCACAAATAGCGTTGATTACGCAACGAGAAGGTCACGTGCTTAGGGTTACCAACCCAAGGCCACAGAAAAAGAGTATATTGGTTGCCAAAATGAGTACATTTTCCAAAAAAAAAAAAAAAAAAAAAATGAAGAAGGTTTTCTCTTTTGATTGCCGGTATATATTCAATAAAATGACATGTGTGCAATGTAACTTCTAAATATATGTTAATATAATATAAGTAATATTTATTTGCGTTTTAGCAACTACATTTGTACATATAACATTATTAAAATTAATTCAAATTTAAAAAAAAACTCAATCTTTTATGTAACAAACGTATATATATGTACAGTCTTCAGGTGTCACGAACCAATTAGAGGGCCGCATTCGCGTCTTAAAACATTACTTAAGACAGTCTTCAAATAAGAACTGACTATGAATACCGGCCTAATACAACCTAGTACAAATCAAGCATAACTTCGTATAAATTTATAAACATTAAATAATAATTTTTTAAAAAAAGAGTACAATAAGTGAAAAGTAAGAGTACACTGTTTTCCAACCTCGAAAAGAGTACATGTACTCTTTAAAGAGTACGGTTGGTAACCATACACGTGCTGCGATAAAATACTCCATTGAGAGTATCATCGACAATTTGATGGGGATCGATAAGAGGGAGGCGATAAAGGAATTTCTTCTCTTTTACACCCTCGCGGCAGTTTGCGTGCCACAATCGCGGTAACTTGCATTATGTATATATACTGCAAGTGCGTTTTCACTTCTATTCCCCGCGGATCCGTCTCGTTCGCGTTCGGCAGCCCCGCGGGATCCGACGACCTCGTGTAAAATCAATCCGCGATTGTTTCCAATGAGTGATAATCGCGGAATGGCACGCGTGACAATGCCTCCCTCTAAAATTGCTCGTTTTCGTCGCCGCATTATCCCAGCAGACGGCCGTCGTCGCCGGGATTGTCGCACATTGAACAACCGCGATACAGCAGCGGAGAACGCGATATAATTACGTCTGGCGATTCCCGGTGGGCTGCGAGTTAACGAAAAGCATTAATTTAGAATGCTCTGCGGTTTTCTTGTGAAGAACCAGCGCGCGCGCGCAACTCCCGTATGCAATTAACGGGCCGCTCGTACCGGCGCGGCCGCAATGGGGGCGTAGAAATCGCCGAATAAAGAAAAAGAAGGGCACGTTAGTGCGGTTTTGTCAGGTCTGATCCAGGGCAAGTGGCATTATGTGCGCGACGACGAGGTCAAAGCCGAATAAAGAAAAAGCCGCGACGAATATACGTGAAGGTGGTTTATCGATAGCGACTACTTGCTGGAAATGACAAAAGGGCAGAAAGTACGACAATCATGCCTGAATTAAGGGAGAGAGGGGAGTTAAGGGGGCCCCTTAATCTTAGCTTAAAATTCGATTTTGTCGATAAAAGTAAATACTCGAACAATCACACTTCTTAAAAATCTTAAATAGAAAATGCAAATCATATTTTGTTGTTTTCATTTAATAAATAATTTTTATTGAAAATAGGTATTTTAGTATCTATATTGTTATATTCATAGAATGATTCTTATGAATAAAGGGGGCCCCGTTTTAATATCAGCTCCAAAAATACCTTAAACCGGCTCTAACGACGGCGAAATAGACTGGAAAATCTCAAACATGATTAAATAACATTTCCTCTGGCGATTCCGCTTATCCCATGTTTTGCATACCTATTTATTATAGAAAATCCCTACTTGTGTTCTATCGATAAATACACAACAATATGGTATACATTGTAATTTTAATTAAGAAGGAATTATTTACAAATTCCATAGATATTTTCGACATTAAAGAAAGAGTCTTCTTCTTCCTTTTAATTTATTAGTATTTTATTAATGTACAAAGAAGCTGTTGCGACTTGCGGATTATCTCTGTGTCTTGATATATTATCAAATGCCAACGTTTCATGAACATTGCAGTTTGCTTCATCAAGGCAACAAGCAACCTGATACTGAGTTCTCTGCAAGATTCCCTTTATGTACAATTTAACGATATATCAAGACACGGAGATAATCTGCAAAGACAACACACATAGTCTCTTTAAAGAAACTACCTGTGGTAACCTCAGAACGTTTATTATGTACAATTTCTATTAAATAATTTATTGAAGATAGACAAAATTAAATAACATGCATATTATGTTTAATTATAAATATTTAATTATAAAGTTTCTTTTAAAAGCATAAAAATATATATCTAATAAATTTTTTTTCTTCTTTAATTATTACGATTTAATAAATGTAGGAACATGTATACAAGAAATTCAATGAGATAAGTTAATTCCTTATTCTGATGATAATCCGTTCGATCATTTCGAAGCTTTCTTTTGCGGGAAATCCAACATGTATCGTTCTTCTATCAGCGGATTAAATATTCCCGTCCTTAATTAACGAAGTATTTAAAGAAGATTCGAGGAATCTTCGGGAACTTTAAGAACGTAGACTAATTATTGACTTTCCTTCCACTCTCTTAATTGCGAACACAATTTGCGGAGTTGTATCTGCGCGAGGATTCACGCAGTAGCTCTGTATTTTATCGTAGAGTAAAAGTTCTAACAATAAGTGTATAATACTATCGACTAATAAACATACTTCAAATCAAAATGTAATATGCTTTATAATTTTTGCAATTGCTTACAAAATGGCAATATTATTTTTGTTTAAGTAGAAGTAGAATAATTAGACATTAAGAAGAGCTTAAAACAAGGATTGAAATGTTTATATTTTGTTTTATTAAACAAACATACATTTTTATGTACACTAAGAACTTGTGGTTCTAAAAGGCTTCTTTATTATTAGTTTTAGTTTATCTATAATTTAGTTTCTTTTTCCGTATAATATACTTATAGAAGTGACAGAGAGGCATGAAAGAAGTTTTAAAAGAGGAAAATAAATATACGCAGATAGAACACTCGTACTCTACAGCGATTATTTGATTTATATAAATGGAATTTTTAATTTTTATTATTAATAGAGTTTTAAAAGTTACGTTGACAGAGCCTCATATTTGAGATCAAATTGACGCTGGTGATAGTCGACGCCAGAAATTTATTATAACTCTTTAATAGAGTAACGATATTGGTAATACCAAAATTAAATTAAGTTTATAAATAAAATATATTCCTTGGATGTTTCTGTTAGCAGTGACATTCGATATGATTTTTACATGATATGGAAATATAAAGTGCTTTTGCACAATATACATATACGTGTGCAATTTTTATTAAATATTTTCCATAAATTACTGCAATATGTTTGGATGTTTCGCGCGCAATTCATAGATGATTCGGAATGTTGGCCGCTAGGTTTTTTTAACTGAAAATTTGTAATATGCAACAATTATTTAATGACTTTTGTATATTATTTGTAAATTATTTTATCAATATAAGCTTATTAATAAATTCAACTATAATTATTGTAAAGGAATCATATTAAAAATATAAACATATCGCTCCATCATCTCTCAATACTATATAAGTACGAGTGTTTTACAAAGATATATTGACCATACTATTGAATATTTTATTTCTTTACAAGATTTTATTTCTTTAATAAGATATTTTTTTTATCCTATATTCATTTTATTAATTATTAGAAATATTTGATTTATACAGACTCGAAGGACAATCCTGTAAGATTACACGGTTAAGATTTCATTGTTTTACGAAAAAAATCGATTATCTTTTGCAAAATTTTAATGATAATTATTTATATTTAATTAATTATATGTATTTAATTTTAATACTTTGAAGGACATAAAGATGCATATTGATATATACTTGTCGACTTATACATATTTGCTAAAAATGTAGTATATCTTCATAATTTTCTTACGGTTATTCGCAAAAATTACATTTATATTGACTGCTGCTCATTGTTACCTACATTTCAGTGCAGCAACTCCGATTCAAAGGTACTTATGGTACAAATGTTCCGCTTTCGTCCGTGTTTCTTCTCGGCAGTAATGCAGTGTTTACGCTCGTTGTAAATTTGCTCTCCCTCGTTAAGGTGCGAGCTGAAACAGGGGAAAAAAAGTGCTGCGGAAACCGTCCGTGGCGGTAATAACGGTAAAGGTAACGTCTCTGTTCCATCTCGCGAAACTGTGTTTAAATGACGTAAGAGTGAATAACATGCCGTACACACAAATACACGATTGCTCCGTTTGGCCAAGAAATCATCGGGATACTGAGGCGAACTGTTAAGTCGTGGAAAAGCACGCAACGTGTTCGCAGTTACTATCAACGAGAGAATTATCTGTCAAATCTTCGTACTCGCTGATCGCGATCGTTAGTATAACGACGGCTATCTGCGACGAATAGCTGATCGATGTTGGATGACATAAGACGGATATATCGAATTTCATTAACTTGCTAAGTCACGTGTGATCCTTGTTCTTAATTAACGCGTAATAAAAGAGGTCGGTTTGCTGCGGAAATAGGAACCTACTTTTCGATATCGGTTTTTGTAAGTTCACAGTAGAACTCTATCGTAAAACTTTGTGCCTTCTCGTTGGCCGGAACTCGTCTCAGGTTTCATACGAGATTTCGTTCTTTTGTTGTGACTTCGATATTCTCCTTTTTGTAGGTGATTACATATGACTCGAGAAAACGTTAACACTTTGTCGTATGAAAGTTATGTCAGACTATCGGCTTTCGTTTCTTGTTGGATGGTTGAATTGCTTGATTTTCTTCGCCGGTTCGACGGTCGTCCACGAGAACGCAACAGAAGTCGATGTCGCGCCCAGAATCTTGTCGCGACCTGAGAGATACCTGATTTTTCCTCAAGGTAGTAATTTTCAGGTAAATATATTTATATAAAAGGTCCAATAAATAAGAAAGAGTGCCAAATATGATCAAAGCTAGATTATAGTGCCTGATAATATTTCTGTGTAAATTTTAAATACCTTTTAGTTGTATAACTAAATGTAACTCGCCATTTGTTGTAATAATATCACAAATTAAATTAATCATTAATTTAACATTGTAAAGAACTTATTGCGAAAAAAATATATTATTTTAGCCACATTATTATAAGATATCAATATCTATCTTCAGTCGCATTTGACGCTTTTTTCGTTATTTGATTAATTTATATAGCAGTCTTGTTTAATTTATTATTGTATATATTTAAATAAATTTAAATAACGCTATATTTTAATTGTGTATATTTAAATAACACTAGAAAAAGGGCAGTTTAATATTTATAACCCTTTTCAATAATTCAAGAATTTGTCCAATAAATCTCCGTTATTATTTATAAAATGTTTCTAATTTAAGTTTCACAATATATATAATGTACTAAAACAATTCTTGCAATTAGAATTAATATTTCAGAACATTTTCCCACAATATCGGGCGTTCTTTAAGCCGTTTTAAGCAAGATTGGAGATCTACAGAAAATCAAACAGTCATCACGTAAATTCGGCCAAGTACTTCGCAAACGTTTTGTATACTTTAGAAATTTTATTGCCTCCCCCAGATTTCGGTACACGGATAAAGTAGAAAAGTAAAGCGCCGCTCGTGCCGCCTGCAGTCTGCGAAATTTACGCGGAAAACTGAATTTGCACGTGGATGTTCCGTGTATTTTCCAGTTAGTGTATTGTCTGACTATCGGAGCGTACGGCCGAGACGGTGATTTGGTGCTGGGACTGACAGCCGCCTTAGCCTGGGAACTTCCGAATAAGGTCGACTCAAAGATATCGAATTTGCTTCACCGTAGAAGCCGGAGCGTCGTATATCCGAAAATGGAGGCTTTCTTGCAATCGTGAGTGTCGTGCCGTTATTTCGCATTTTTCAACCGATTTTTCCCTCGATCTTTCAGCATGTATTCGAGTTGACGAGAAGCATATCGCGGTTGAATGCGTCTAAAACAGTTTCAAACATCAAAACAATCCTCGTCGATCGCATGAAAATGTAAACGCGAAGAGACGCGCCTTATCTGTCATTATCGAACCATTAGACATCAATAATGGAAATTTGTGCATCGAAACGATGCGAATCAATGTGATAAGTATATCGGTTAGAAAAGCGATTTAATTTTATGGTGAATGTAATTTGCGACACACACAACTCTGACAACGCCCGCATTCTTGGCGCTTTATGCGACTCGCGGCGCGCGGTTGTTACGCATTATGAGGACGTAATTACTTTTAAGTGCGAACGGAATTGTTTCGAGCGTAATTGTTTTCGTGTAGCAGAAGCTCTGTCGAGCTTGGTCGTCAAAGTTTATGCTTTTAAATTAAACTTCATTGGCAGCACCGGCCTCGACGGCAGATCCTGCGTGATGAGGGCACTCTGCGAAGCAGGCCAGCGAGATCCTGCCCAGATAGGCACGGGATCCTTCATCCAAGAGCTCCTTCATGCAATTTTTACGTAAGTAAAGACTCCGATTTCCTTTAAAAGCATCAAGTTCGTTCCCTTCGAAAACTCCCGCTATGTACGCTTATTTCCCTCGAACTTTAACTTTAGTTAGCTACCATTTTCATTAATTGAAAAAATGAAAAGAAAGTCCGATTGATCGGGCAATAAGACTTCGAATTATTAAAGATGTTTTGGCTGTACAAACTAAAAATCAGTAAAAAAGTCAATATATCAGTCAAAACATTTTCTTGCAAACGCGTCCCGAAATTAAAATTATAAAAAACAAAATTATTTCGTTTTTAATGCTTTATGCAGCGTAATTATTATATTTTGCTGCAGTTACAGCTAGGTTAATAACGTTTATACAGTAGAGTAAATAAATAAATCCAAATTAACTTTTGCATAATAATATTCGCTAGAATTTTATTAATATACATATATTTAAAAAATTAGGTTTAAATTATAATGCTATTTCTAGATAAGATTTCTAGATAAAAACAGAGAGAAAAGTTAAATAATTTTCAAAATTTAAATCAGTAAGAGAATTGTGCTCAAATCTCACACGGGATACTCAGACATAGGTATAAGTAATAGAACAATCTATGAAATTTTTATATTTTAACAATGTTTTAAGTGACATATACATCCTTAAATCAAATTCCAACCGTCACTCAGCAACGTGCGATTCTGTTAGCAGATTGCCAAAAGATGGTGCCAGATTCGAGCGGTCGGAGGATCGCGCTTACGATCGCGCATACGAAACGAGCGGAGACTGCGAACGGCTGTACCCCACGTGTCGGCACTCCATTTATGACGTGGACTTTTGAAGCTGCGGCAGAAGTTGCGACAGAACCTCTCACCGCGTCGTCCTACAAAACTACAGAGTGTAAATCTGATGGGGAACTTGCGGCAAACTTTTTCTGGCAGCCGTCCTATTCCGCGGCGATTTTTCCGCCTGATGTTACGGTGGCTGACGGTGGCTTTGCGCGTCGTTTCGCGACGCATTGGACTGACGACTGATAAAACGGTCGATCTGTCGTATTGTTGGTTTATCGTTATTACGAACGTTTATTCAAACGCCTATCAAATGCGATTTTGTCGTTCTTTATTGAAAGAGAACAGACACGCTGCTACACGGAGAGATAAGTTTGCGTAACGTGTCAAAATTTAAGTTTGTATATCTGTCGTTTTATCGAAGATTATTTACACAAGCTTATCGTGTTAATTAAGTTATATTAATAATATTATTTTATTTATTTTTATTACGTAACATTTACAGCTACACTACATTAATATTTACAAGTAACATGTGACAATAATAACAATATTATTGCGTAAATTGGTTTATGATCGGTCGAGATAAAAAATTTCACATAATACATATGCATGAAGCTATTAATAATATGAAATATATAGTCAATAGTCTATCCGCTTTCCTTACATTGCACACTCTAATGATATTTTCACGAATATCGCATTATTAATCGAGTTCGCAAGTATGTCCTGTATTTACATAATTTTGGATAACAATATAACATTTTTTGTCAGCCACTGTGCATGTTGGAGGGCTATATATTGAAGGGGGCAATAAACGATTATTTTAAATCAACGAATCCGAGATTAAATTCAGAAAGTTTGGCGCGAGGCTCTCGATCCATGAATATTCTATATCGGTCATTACATTACTTCCGCAACGTGTAATTCATTTCGGCGCGGTTTCGAATAATTTCACGACGTTTTGCATTAATAAAATGGTCGCCGGGCTCTCGTCGATTTATGGTTCATTTCTGTAGAGTGCTCCGACGAAGCGTCCGACGGTTGATTCCCGCCCCCCTTCTCCCCCCCTTTTTTTTCCTTTTCATTGGAAATAAAATATGCCAAATATACTTTCGTGGTGTAACGAACGTCTAATCGATATGCATTCAGTGAACATTTTGCATCTCCTCATGCGGGCGCTCCATAGTTTGCCACTTGTCAGTGTTTGTTGCGCACGAACGCGACGAACTAGTCGCAACTATAAGCACATAACTGTATTTACTTGATGAAATTCTGCCACGTAACTGCAAGCTTGTTTATTAACGATGTTGAACAAGGTAGCCCGGCGGCCACTTGACGTAATACTTTAACCAACAACCGGAAAATCCTGAGATAATGACTCGGTGCCTGTCATAACATATAATATATGATATATACCACGTAAAAGCGTTATTGTCGTCATCATGTAAAGCGGGTATTCTCCGGTATGAAATTTTGTATTGCAACTCGACTACAGCAGATAGTATTTCCAGCATTATATTACATTTGGGCGTGCATCCCGCTTTTGTTGCATACTGCTCGATGTAATTTCATGATATTCATTATAATATATTCGGCCTAAATTAGATTGCTGGTATGCATCTGATTCGATAATATGCCACGCGCTCAGTTTAGTGCTGTAGTTATTTTGACCGGAAATTTATCCCGAAGATAATTAAATTATTACGGCAACGTTTGCTGTGAGGTCTAAAAACGTATGAGGATCGTTAATAATGTGTACATAGTTAATATTATGTATATATTATCTGCGGAATGTTGGATATTTGTTATGCGAGTAAATTGAAGAAAACTTGCGGTGCTCTATCAGCCTTCTGCAATAAATTAAAATATCGTTTAGAAAATACGTATTGCGTTTTATCAACTATAATTCGAATCAGGTTATTGTACTTAATCAGTTTATAATTTACTTTAATGTAATCGATAACCAATTAAAATGTTAATTTGATAATTATTCTTGTAATTTGTTTAATACACTAATTATATTATCGTATATTGTGCAGATAATAATGTCAGGCAATTGTGATTTAAATATGAAAGAGACAGTCTTGCTAGGCTTGAAGAAATACAATAAAAAGGAAAAAACAGTTGAAGTGAAATAAATAAATAAAACAGAAGCAAACAAATATAACAAAATATTTACATTATTGTTACATTTATTTGCAATGTTCTATTATATATTTATTTCTTTCACTTCAATCGTTTTTTTTAGTCAATATATTATAGTCAAGATATATGTATTCTCTCTCTCGACTTATCATACAATTGTTTAAATTAATTTACGAAACAATATTTATGAAAAATATATTTTAAGTTTACTTATATTACTAATTATATTATTTATCCAACAGATAGTCCTGCTAGACTGAAAAAAATGCAAAACGGAATAAAACTATTGATGAAGTTGCGAATATAAACTTAATAGGATACATTTGCGTATTACATGAAAAATGTTTGAAGTATTAACAAAATATGTATTTTTAAGTTCAAATGTTCTTAATTGTATCATGTAGTTGCTCAATTTACGGAACAACGTTTTTATGCAAAATACTCTAAGTTTTCTTAAATTTGTCTATTTTTCTTGAAGGAATAAAGAACAGAGTCAAATTATTCTCCATTTACTCATCGTTAGACCAATAATAAAGTACCGTTGCTTTTCGACATAGACGCGAATACAGTTCGTTAGCGTTTGTTCTCGAGAACAAGTAGCGGTTACGCATTCGCGCCAATTCTATCGTTAAGACTAACACTTTAGCTCCGCCTTATGGAACACGAAATTTTTGTACCGCGATGCTGATTAATCATCTCCATCATTTTATTCTGCTCGGCGTTTTTGTGCGTCGTTTCGAAGGATCGACAGCGTCGTCAATGACGTTTCCGAACGACTCGTTAGTAAGATCTGGGAGAGATGTTGGAACCAAGTATCTGGTGTTTCCTCAAGGCAGCAACGTTCAGGTAAGATAACTTTTATTCTACACAACGACGAATATATTTTAATAAGGAAACACTCAGCTCTCTCGCGGAAACGACGATTACTGTCCTCTTCGTGTCAAGTTTCCATTTGCGATGCATAAACTTTGAAAATGTAGAGGAGTGTAAACGCACCTGTTACACTCGTTTTCGAGACCGGGGGTCCGTTATTAAAATGAAATTATATAATCTTCATGCTTTCTCGTGTTTTTGTGCGAAACGCGGCAGACAGGTCGATACGAGCTTGTGGAAGTTTAGTTTGCGCAAAGTTGTATATTATAGCGCAACATAAACTCTCTCGATACAGTTTAGCTTAGAAAGTTCCATATGCTAAATGAAACGGAACTCCCTTTATCCTTAACGTTTGAAAAGACTCTAATAAGCGAAGTAACATAGAGTAATAACGAACTTTGTTAAAAGGAAAGAATATTGATCCGTATATAATTAGTATATAATTAGTTTGAAATTAATATGTAAAGTATGTTGCTGCCGAATTAAAACACGCGCCCTCTGAATTGCAAATATTAAAATAATTTGTAATTTGAATGAGGATAAATAATTAATATACTTTACAAAAGTATATATTAATTAATCAATAATGAATAGTCTCTTTCTCTCTTCCTTTTTTGACAATTAAAAACAAATATTACTTATTATTTGCAATCTAAGAGCTTACATTACTGACTTGACATTAACTTCTACTTGTCCACTATTATTACGCAGCTCGTCTACTGTCTAACCATGAGCACATATTCAAAGCCCCAAGGAATGTTTACCATTGGTATTACCGCCGGGCTTGCGTGGGAACTACCCTACAGAAATACTGTGCTGTACGGGAAGCCAGCTGAGGTTTATCATCGTCGGAGCAGAAGAGAGCTGTACCATAAAGCGGAGCTAATGCTAAGAACGTGAGTAAGAAAGGCGGACAAAGGCGAGGAAGCCAGAGAGAAGGGTTTCCTCTTCTCATTCCGTATAAATTACCGACAAACGCGCCACTTGTACACCGAAAAAAATCTCGTGAATTATTTTAATAGTGGGGAAACGATGTAGTAACTTATCATCGGACACAACGAAGAAAAATATGAATCACTATTGCAACGATTACGACATACTTCGTCATTCGGCAGGAAAATTGAATATTTCATCATTTTATTTCGCCTCTGAATCTATTTCATTCTCCTCTGCTGATCAGATTTATCCTCCTCCCCGAGTGGAAGGTCCTCTGATGGAAAAATGGTAATTCTATCGAATACGAACGAAGGGTGAGACTTATCGTGAGATTTTTGTTTCAACGACTTGTCGGGCAAGTTCGCTGCTTCTCGGTTCACGAAGGAAAATAGACGCGAGCTATTATTGGAAAGCTGCCTTCTCATCTGCGTCACGGAAAATGTTTCTGTTTTTCAAAGCGAAACGTCTCTCGTTTAGAGGCGGATTCGATTCGGAGGAAAAATAATAACGCGTCGGAAGTTTAAAATGGGTAGTCATCCGGCAACCATCAACGTAACCGACGTTTCCTTCGCGCAAATTTAAAAATGGACCCTCGTAAACCTCTGCGTGCGTGACTGTAATAAACGTTACACTTGGGGTCCAAATAATTTCGATGAGACACGTGGGACGAATTCGTATTTCACGGCCGATGAAGCGACAGGGAAACGCTCTTAAACGGTGGTTCGAGCGGCGAACGGATTAAACTGTGTGCTTTCATCGCTCGAGGCCGGAAAATGGTTCCGAAGAAACGACGATGACTCAGGTATAACCGACGACACATAATGCCGTAAAACCACGCTTACTCGGCCGTCCCAGTGTTTCCAGTGTTTCACCGGACATTGTTCGAGTGCTTACGGGCACATTAAGCGTGCGGATTAAGAGGCTTCTCGCAATGATCGCAAAGTTCCGTGTTTCGAGCACCGGCTATTCTGCGTGGCGGATATGAGACCGAAAACAGCCGGGAATCACGCGATGAGCGGTCGACATGGAGATCCCTTTTGCTCTTCTAATGCGGAATTACTCGTGACGTGTAAAAAAAATTAATTAAAGCGTTCTT